CCTCGTTGTGCTAGACTCAAACACATTGCTTATATATTTCAAAGAGAAGAGAACAAAAGAAAACACCTATACAAAGAGAGCGGTGCACAGCGCTTAATATTTACTTGCACTATATTTCTGTTGATCTGGGTTATTGTGTTGCACTGTTGGAGGAGCCTGTGACCTAAGATGTTCATTGTCATAACTACACTAGCTATGTTCGTATGACAAAATAAAAAACCTTGAACCTTGAGGCTGTGTCTTTCAGACAAACCATCATAATCATATTATTTTATGCTGTGGATACTTTAGCCTCCATCCATGTTAACAATTTTTTACACTTGCATTTATGAATATAGTTCTGTTGTGTTTTACACTTTTGTATTTATGTTTATAGTTTGCTTTGATATTTGCTTAATTTATTAGATTATTATTATTATGGGGGCAGTACTGGTGCTTGAAATTCAAATATTTACTAAATAGTCAATTCTGATAACATTTTTTTGGTTTAAATAATTTGACAAACACATGTATGTGAAAAAGAAAAGATGTATTTATGTTCAATACAATACAATGAATATTTAGGTATTACATTATACATTCTAGGTATTCAGGTAGCGCATCAGACCCTCTCGTATGTCCCTGCCCTCCTCTGCACCGTGTGCCACTGCTACCCCTGGTAGACGTAGGTTTTCCTCAGGCATCCTGAAGTTCTCCACCCACTGAGTGTGTGAAAGATGGAACAATCACATTCCACCACTCGGTAGCTCGGTCGGTAACTTCTGAAATACACAAACAAAAGCATACATATTTTAATACGTAAAAGTGGTAGCTACAATTAATTAAATACTTGAAATACTTTGGTCGTATAGGGAGCGTGAGCCTAAACACATTGCTAGTTAGCGAACGTTAGCTTACCAAGTAGCATTGTAGTTAGTAGTGATTCGAGTCGTCCTGTAGTCTCTGCGGCGTAGGAGGACTGCCCGAACTCTCGCGTCAGCTTCTTCTATACCTCGTCTTGCTATACGTCGCCTCTTTCGAAACAACTCTTGTCTATTTCTTGTGATAATAAACCACACAGCAAAAAACAAGCAAACGATCGCTTTCACATCTTCACATCCTCCATTGTTGTGTCGCATTGAAGATGACGTCACGGCAGTTTTAAGCAGCGTCGCTCCGCCTACACTGCGTTACTATAGATACTACCCCAGTTCCTAAACTGTAATGGAAACGCGCCATAAAGTGAGCTGGTCCTAACGAGGCCAATCGCGGCCCAGCCATACCGAGCGGGGCCGAGCGAGGCCGTGTAGTGGAAACGCGCCATTGGACTCTGTACTAGTTTGACTTCTACCAGAAATAAAATGAAGAACTTTGACTGTGTACTTTGTGAGTAATCCTCTGTCAAAGTCCCCTCCATAGTAGGCTACATAATGCATGTTTTTCTGCTATCTTTGATGAATGATAAAAATACAATTTTACCATTTAGTAAGGTAAAAAGCAAAAATGCTTTGCAGACGCTCTTCCGTTTACTTGTTTAATAAAGAAAAACAAATGGACCGTAGATACACAGATTTTTGACCTCATCTGCGCTCTTATTTTGTAAGGTAACTTCCGGTATATGAAAAAACTGTAGTTTTTTTGTTTCTGTTTTCTAGTGATTTATTTTTTGTTTTGAAAAGTAGAAAATGAAAATCATCCCGTTTTTTTAAATTTAGTAAATCCCTTTTTGACCATGATAAAGAAAAACGCCTTGTATTTCAATTTTGGTTTTTAAATTTTCAAAACGAAAATTAAATATCCAGTCGTTTTTTGAATATCCATTTGTGAAAAGAAAATCCAATGACCAAAACATACACTGACCCTAATGTACACATATTGTAAAAAGAGTAACAACTGGGTTTTTCTATTTCGGAGGTGCATTGCTCCATCAAATACGTGTTGTGTGAGAGCTCATTGAACACATCACAGGGAGAAGGAACTAGAAACACTTTCCGCGTGCAAGAAGAAATAATTTCGTTTCAAGTGTTTTTATTTCACATTATCAGGAAGCCCCACATACGCAGGGCATCAAAAAATTAGTTGAAACTCTTAATGTTCCTCTCCACGGAAATCTTTAGTAAAAGGCGAAAGATTTATGCGCTCTGAAGAGAAACAAGAGTGTACTGAAGAAAAAGAGAGCGAGCAAGGGACCCTCTTCCCAGCCACAGCTCCCTCTGTCGCGGTGTGTTCACCATTTCAAAATACATACCTAGATTGTAGGGAATAACCCAGCATTGAAATAAAACATGGGAACTCAAAAAACGTGTTCTGAGTTTTACGTTATTGTGTTCGTCGTTAACTGCAGGCTATGCATCATAAACGTTAGAGTGCGTAAACATTGGACAGATCACAGGAGACAAACGCACTCGAAGTAGAACAGAGAGAGTCTGTTATCAGTAGATCATTTTTGTTTGACAATTTAGGAAGCCCCACATACGCAGGGCATCAAAAAATTAGTTGAAACTCTTAATGTTCCTCTCCACGGAAATCTTTAGTAAAAGGCGAAAGATTTATGCGCTCTGAAGAGAAACAAGAGTGTACTGAAGAACTACGGAGCGAGTAAGGGATCCTGTTCACAGCCACAGCTCCCTCTGTCGCGGTGTGTTCACCATTTCAAAATACATACCTAGATTGTAGGGAATACATTTGAGTTGTATTGAAACAAAATATAATTTAATCTAATGTACACACATTGTAAAAAGCGTAACAACGGAGTTGTTCGACTTCGGTGGGGCATTGGTCCATCAAATACGTTTTTTGTGAGAGCTCATTGAACACATCACAGGGCGAATGAAATCGAAAGACTTTCCACGTGCGACAAGGAAAAGTATTGTTTCAAATGTTATTATTTCACATTATCAGGAAGCCCCACATACGCAGGGCATCAAAAAATTGTTTGAAACTCTTATTGTTCCTCTCCACGGAAATCTTTAGTAAAAGGCGAAAGATTTATGCGCTCTGAAGAGAAACAAGAGTGTACTGAAGAACCAGTGAGCGAGCAAGGTTCCCTATTCCCCACCACAGCTCCCTCTGTCACGGTGTGGGTACAAGTTTCAGAATACATACCCGGTTGTAGGGAATAACCCAGCATTGAAATAAAACATGGGCACTCAAAAAACGTGTTCTGAGTTTTACGTTATTGATCCACGTGTTCGTCGTTAACTGCAGGCTATGCATCATAAACGTTAGAGTGCGTAAACATTGGACAGATCACAGGAGACAAACGCACTCGAAGTAGAACAGAGAGAGGGTGTTTCTCAATCGCGAGTATGCTTGCTTGGTAGCACATGTCTGCTGAGCATCTTGCTTCAGAAGCGAGTCAAGAATACTTCCTGGCATTCGGAAAACGAAGTGTGGAACATTTAGCAAGTGTGCAGGTGTGCGTCATATGAGAGGCCCCGCCTTACATCTTCCGCCACAGATTTGGGGAAATTGGTCCGTGCGCAAAGCATTGTGGGGATTTTATGACCGCGGAGTCTACTCATGTGCAGCCTCGATATTTCTCCAAACGGAGTACGCCGGGCTCGGTAGATTTCCAAGTATGCTGGAGATTGGAACAGTACTTCGGCGGCACTCGATGACGTAGAATGCTTGAAATAGTGGCTCTGAAGCAGCCAGCTTTACTCGCGATTGAGAAACACCCAGAGTCTCTTATCAGTAGATCATTTTTGTTTGACAATTTAGGAAGCCCCACATACGCAGGGCATCAAAAAATTAGTTGAAACTCTTATTGTTCCTCTCCACGGAAATCTTTAGTAAAAGGCGAAAGATTTATGCGCTCTGAAGAGAAACAAGAGTGTACTGAAGAACGAGAGAGCAAGCACCGTACCCTATTCCCCGCCATAGCTCCCTCTGTCACGGTGTGTCAATAAACATTTAGAAGGAAATACCAACCGCATTGTATCAGAAGGAAAACTAAAGTGTGTTTCGTCTGACTACAGCGTTGCAACGTTTTGAAGGAAATACAAGTGTTTGTATGTTGAACGTTTAAGATATAGGCTATAGCAAGTGCACGCTATGCATTATGGGAACATGGCCCCCACGGTTACGCCCCTACCTTTTCAACATGTTTTACTTAAAAAATGCCATTGCTTACCAATACAAAACATTATGATTGGGCTTTGTTTGAATGAAGCTAATATTTTATAACTTAAGAATAGCTCTCTTTTTTTACACGTTTTCGATAAGAAACTGCTCGCCTGCATCAAACAATCCAAAGATTAAACGCATCAAGATAGTTGTTGCCTTCCGTTCCGTTTAAGCTAGTATGTTCATTTGAAACATGACATTATATTCCTTCTGAACACCGTCTGCTTTTCTTTTGACGAAGTGTCTGCATACTATGAGTAGACCCCAGACCCACTTCTAAATATGGGATAACATGTATCAATATTGCGCTTGATCCATCAGATCTTTGTAACTTCCACTCAGAGTTGTCATACTGTAATCATCTTCCTTTTCAAATGTTTTGCAGTAACCAAACCCACTGTAAACTTGTGACAGTAAACTTAAACATGCGATTCATAAAAGTGAGTAAGACACACACATCTCATACTTATATAGAATATAAAACTATGAAATAATACAAAAATATAGTCGCCTCAACTAAGATGAGAATGTCCTATCTTTGCATGCCCTAGACTAAAATGAATGAAACATAATGTTTGAGGGAAGCCTATAAACATCTTTCATTTGAGATATGAAACCATTTGACCAGTTGGCTGCCGTAGGGGAGAAACAAAACCTATATTTTGGACACAAGTCCTGTTCCCCTCTTCGAACCCACTACCATGTACGGTAAGACTACAGCTACAAACTCACAGGTGGAACTCAGTGCTACATGCTAGCTAGCTCATGAGCTCACTTTCAGCTTTAGGAGTACATGAAGTGACATTTGTTTAAAATTTGGAGTGACCACAAGTTTACTGTTTGTTAGCGAACAATATGCTACATTTGTGTTTGGTTCTCACTACGTTACCTACATCTTTATTCTCGCGGCTCGTCGCCGGGGCTCTCCCTCCCGTGCTCGTGTTTCAGTGACAGCTGATCTGGGGTCGGCGTTGATTCCAGCAACGCGGGAACACAGCAGCTAACAACCATCGATGTGAACTGTTCCACGGTCAGTTTCTAACCGTTAATCCTGCCTCTACTGTAACAGGAGGAAATGTTGCTGCTGCGGAATTGTCTGCCACCTAGTGGATAGGAGTGTTACTACTTAAGACAAAGCTACTACATTGTAATTTACTGGTACTTCAGAGTACAGTACAACAGCCCAGCAGTATTTTAAATGTGTATTACCTCTCCTCATCTCTATCTGAATGATTCAGTTTCACTTATTGTGGGTTTGTGTAGCCTTTCGATGGATGATGGAGGACATCAAAGGCTCAGGTGCCATTTGTTTGGTGACACCTTGAACCAGTGGCGTAACAAGGTTGTGATTGGCCCTGCCGCCCTGGTGCAAATATTGTTTTTTATAATGCTGCCGAACTTGCTGCTGCTAGCTACAGTACAGTACAGGTTGATTAAACGATTCGCTCTGCCTTGAAGCTTTACATCCTCCTGGATCCAAAAAACAAACAAACTCGTCTATAATGTAATTGTACCGTTTGTCTATTCTGTACACACAACATCTATGTGTCTGTCCTTGTAGAATAATCCCTCCTTGATGAGTTTCTCTTTAAATGTTTCTTCCATACCTTTTTCCCTATCCAAAGTGTGGGTTGAAAACATAGACTGTATATATAAAGGTTGAAAAGGACAGAATGTGTCATAGGCTGTATACGGGTTCCCTGGGGGACATTTCTGACTTTTACATTACATTTCATTTGCTGACCCTTTTATCCAAAGCGACTTACAGTATGTGCAATAATTCCTGAGGATACAAATGCAAAATGGCTAGAATCCTGCAAGCTCATTAGCGTTGAATTAGCCAAACCCTTTTATGCTACAGTACATACAGAAATAAAAAAGTTGTTTTCAGATGTTATTGCCGTATAAAATATGGGTCTCAGTCTGCAACCGTGTAATTGCAACCCTCGGCAACACTGAAACACACTAAACAGAATATTTTCTTCATGGCACCACAAACTGTTGCACTAACATAACAATGGAGTTCAGGCAACAAACAGTGATTATGTGCTTAACATTTGCAGCAAGGCTGTTGTAATACAAGATAATGTTTATTTAATCCATCCTATGCGAGTGTAAATATACTGTACCTGAATCTTTCAAAACACATTCTGAAGTTATTAGCTGAGTTTGAGTAGAAATTCAACAAAGAGTCGAGATTTTTAACAAAATGTTTGCTTTATTTTTTTCATTTTTTTATCCAGGACAACTCATTCAAGGATAATCAAGGAGAAATAAGCACTAATGTTTTTATTAGAATTTTTTTTCAGTTTTTACATTTTTTCAGAGATGGATGGTGAATTTTATCATAATTGGTCAAAGTAAAACAAAAAAAATAATAAATGAATATATAATAACAATACATTAATAATTAATTCAATACAATGAAGTGTTGTGTCGATGATAGAATAACAATGGCCCAGAAAACGTAGGGTTTTATTGTTTTCACTGCTTCTTCTGTGGTACTGCAATAATCACCAGCACTAACTCAAGTCAATCAACAACAGTAGAGGAAGAAATGGAGTGCGTTCACAAAGTTCTGCACCCCGGCCTCCCAAAGAGGAAACACTTTTTTTATTTAAATAATATTTTATCAAAGCTTCTGTTTTTTTTATCATCATAAAACGTTTCTAAAACTTATCTGTCTTCTTTAAACTTTCTTTCTCTTTTTTTTTGCATTTTTGATACATTTTCCTTTTCAGAGATTTTAAAAGTTTTTCGTCTCCATTTTACCACAATGTGTCCATTTTTGCAAGTGTGGTTGCCTATGTGTGTGTGTGTGTGTGTGTGTGCATTTGATGTGGCCTTTTCTGAGGCTTGTTGGAACAACCTTGAGTTGTTTAAGTGCTCACATGAATGCGCCGCCTGCACGTATGAAGCATGATGATGTGTTTTTAAACGTGTGTTTGGAGAGTGTGTGTGTGTGTGTGTGTGTGTGTTTGATGTCCTTCCACTGCTTTACCTGTATTAAGGTCACTGCAGCAGAGACGTTCATACTGAGAGGTTGAAGCTGGCTCAAGCAACAAGGTGTGTGTGCATATATGTGTGAGACAGTGTGTGTTTGTACGCCCTGTGTAAAGCTTATTACGAGTCTGTATAGCCACTACATGATAGGTGTGTGTGTGTGTACGCGCGCGTGTGTGTGTGTGTGTGTGTGTGTGTGTGTGTGTGTGTGTGTGTAATAGAAGGCACGGAGGGTGGTGTGGGGGGCTCAGTCTCTCAGGTCCATGCTGGAGCCGAACAGGGCCACCAGCTGCTCCTCATAGTGGGAGATGTTCCTCTTCATGATCTCCTTACAGGAACCCAGGAGGCGCTCAAACGCCTGGATGTCTATTACTGCAGAGAGAGAGAAGGGGGAGAGAGATGTTAGGTGTGTCTTAAGCAGATTGTTTTCATTTGTGCGATTCAGGTAGAAATACCCCCCTGGTCCCATCTTAAATGTCCTCACTGGGCCTCAGAGGATCCTTAAAGTCCTGCTGTATTCATGTGTTCTTTATTAAACGAGGACAATGTGAAACTAAACCTTATTCGCAAACAAAAAAAGAGATGATTTATGCCTGATTGAACTATAAGCTTATATTCATCCACAGTTCCTGTGCAGGTACACAGATAACAATAAACAGACAGTAAAAACGTAACATAGTCCCCATCACACTAACAATTATAGAGACAGATCGTGCATCAACATTTGAATACAAGCACATTTAACAGTTAAAGGTGGGGTAGGTAATTTTGGAGAAACCAGCTCGAGATCGCTAGAATTTGAAAATACACAGCCGGAGAAAATCTGCCACTTCCTTACAGAGCCCCTCCTCCAACACACACGAACGCGCACATGACCAATGAGGGCACGAGATAAGTTTGTGCACAGATGGAAGGCTGACAGACAGGTAGGCCATCCAGTTATTTTAGCCGGGCCGGCTAAAATGATTGGTCGTGCTTTTTACAGTACTACGGCTTCCACAGATGACATTTCTTTATGGATTTTTTGTCAAAGCACTTAAGATATTCATTGCTATCGGGATGTTGAGAGCATTCCATGGAATATAACAAAAAGTGTATCTCGAGCCGGTTTCTCAAACTTACCTACCCCACCTTTAAACTATACTACATATATCACAATTTATTTCAATAAATAACTTATTTTGACAAGACATACTTTCTTATTATGAAGCCATTTTCTTAGTGTGATGTTTAGGCCGCTTTTGAAGCAAACTGTTGTGCTCATTTGCTCAAAGTGTTCCCCTAACGGCAGATTAATTGTATACAGTCCCAACATACAGGGAGAATGATACAAGGACAGCAGACAGTGTGTTGCTGCGGGATGTTTCACTGACAGTTTTCTGTTCTGCTTCAAAGCCAAGCAGCTGTTGGAGACTGTTGTACTATTAGTACTGTACACAGAAAGTACACTGAAGATACACAGGTAAGTGTGACAGTGTGTGTTTAATATTGAAGGGGGTAAAAATAGGGGAGTGCTACATCTACTTTTAAAAAATCCTGTGTGAATAAAAAAATAAAAGCGGGGCAATTAGCATTTAGCAGACTTCACAACAGAGGACAAAGAGGTGACAGAAAAACACGACCAGCTTTTAAAAATCCTGCGTTCATTTTCAAATGTTAAGTGCTGCTCATCCACTGTTGAGCCTGAATTACAGCAACCACTTAAAAAAAGGCTTAATCACGGCTGAACGGCCTTTAATCAACACAAATACAAGGTGACGAGCCAGACACAAATTGCTTGTAAGAGTGTTATTAGTGGGATATTATCACCACAGGCAGTGTTGTAAGGTTGAGTGGCTCAAATAATGCTTTTCATTTCACTATCACTCACAAAGGATTTATTGAATCTTTTAAAATGGTAGCTTTTTAAATAATTAATTGACATTGATAAACTCATAACACATCCAAATGGTACGTCATATTCTTTTTTTACCATCATAAAACGCTTCTAAATCTTATCCGTCTTCTTTAAACTTTCTTTCTGCATTTTTGATTCATTTTCCTTTTCAGAGATTTTAAACGTTCTTCGTCTCCCTTTTACCACAATGTGTCCATTTATGCAAGTATGGTTGCCTATGTGTATCTGTACCCCTGTGTGGTGTGGGATTTATTGAATCTTTTTAAATGGTAGCATTTTAAATAATGAATGAACACTGATTAAAACACAATACATCAAAATCGTATGTCATATATTCATTTGACATAACAAGGTGCTTTAGATGCAGATATCACATTGTTGGACATCTAACTTTGAAACAAAGCTACATCACATTAGCGTTGATTAGCATTGATGCGGACAGACGTGGTAAACGAGTGTGTCAGAGTGTATTTCTTCTCACCCACTAACTTGACGGGGCCCTCTGCGTAGACGGAGGCGGCCCGGGGCTTGTTGGTGACCAGGGCCAGCTCTCCGAAGTAGTGACCCCTGCTGCAGCGCGTCAGCTCCACCTCCACGTTGTCCGCATGGTCGGCCTTCGTCTGCCGGGGAGAGAGGAGGCCGTTAAATGTGAACAACCACTGGGCATCTCGTTTTTCTCTCACCCCGAGCCAGAAGAGCTCAGCAGCTATTGTGATCCACGCTGTTGCTAAGCAAAACCAGGAAACACTTTGACACTCTGGTGGTCTTCACTAGGGAGAGTGGGTTGTTATTGTCAGGATGTGCTGCAAGGATAATGACTGCTAGGAAATATATGATCAGCTTTTGTGTCGGTGCTTATTCCTGCACAAAAAAAACGAATTTAGAATATTGATCAGCCTCTGAGAACGTTGTGATCGGGCCGGTTTGAACCATTCATTACAGCTGGACAGAAGCTGCTGGGGAAATGGGAATGCAGGGAACAATAAATACATGTTTCAGAAAGGATAAGCTTTAGTTCTTATAGATTTAGTTTTTTAAGTTCTTTTTCATTAGGTATAATGTCTACATATAGTTTCAGAATAAATAAATGAAAA